GATGACGCAGAGGCGAAATTGACTGACTGTTTAAGAAGGCTCCACACAGGAGGTCACATAAGTGACCATGACTTCGAACACCTCCGGCCAGTCGGGACACATATTCCCCGATTATATGGTCTACCTAAGATCCATAAGGAAGGCCTACCGGTTCGCCCGATTTTAGATATGCGGAACTCTCCGTATCATGCGATAGCTAAGTGGTTAGCAGAGAAGCTCAAGCCCATACAACATCAGCTGGCACCACGCAGCTATCGAGATACCTTTCAATTCATTGACGACATTAAAGACCTCAACCTTGACGGCATGATGATGTTCTCACTAGACGTCGCATCACTTTTTACAAACGTCCCAGTCACCGAGACAGTTGACTACATCTGTGATTTTCTATCTGCCAGTCATCAAGAAATAGGACTGCCGACAAAAACACTCAAGGAACTATTACTTAGATGCACATTAAATGTGCAGTTCCTTTTTGACAACCAACTCTATAGACAAATAGACGGCGTTGCCATGGGCTCGCCTCTTGGACCTCTCTTAGCCGACGTCTTCATGGGCAAGCTGGAGAGATTTCAACTAAGCGATCAGATCAAGAAGCTTAAACATTATGGTCGCTACGTTGATGACATCTTTGCGATTGCAACCACAGAAACCGACGTCGCTGCCCTCCTAAATGCTGCAAATCAGGCACATCCGTCGATCAAATTCACGTTGGAGATGGAGTCGGCTGGTTCGCTTCCTTTCTTAGATGTCCTTCTAAACAGGAGATCTGACGGTAGCATCCGAAGGAGTGTCTATCGAAAGAAAACCTGGTCTGGACAATACACGAACTTCGCTAGTTTCGTACCTCTCCAACAAAAACGGAATCTAGTCAGGTGTTTGGCACAAAGGGCTAGAAAAATTTGTTCGACAGGTAGTATCGAGGAGGAACTTAGAAAAATCCAGGACTTGCTTCGCGAAAATGGGTATCCTGACAGGTTCATTGCAAAGAACCTTGCCGAACGACCTGCAAAACCCACCACACTAACCGCCGAGAAGAAAACGTTGTTTCTCAAAGTCCCCTTCCAAGGAGACGCTGCAGGTGAACTCCTAAGAAGACGCCTTGACCAAGCTGTCTCGGGAACCTTCCCAGCAGCAAGGGTTCGCATATCATTCTCCACTAACCCTATTCTACGCGGAGAAGGCAAGGATAGGCTGCCACCTCAGACCGCCTCAATGTGCATCTACTCATTCACTTGCTCCTGTGGAGCAGGTTATATTGGTCGTACGAGTCGGCGCCTTTCCAAAAGAATACGAGAGCACCTTCCCGCATGGCTGGCAAAGGGTGAAACTAGGAGAATAGACAGCGCCATCCTTGCGCATGCAGTGGACTCAGGGCATCGTGTGGACCCCACCGAAGCATTTCGTGTGATTTACAAGGTCCCCTCGTGCTACCCTAAGCTACTGGGCCAGCGCCTGCTAGCAACAGCAGAAGCGGCCGCCATAAGGTTACGAAAACCGACCCTATGCGCCCAAAAGAACCTTGTTCAGGCTCCGCGCTTACCGTGGTCAAAGGTTGACTAACCACATACAACTTTCGGCGCCCTTCCGCTCTTGCCGAGCCTGTAATTTAAAACCTAACTTTTATCGATTTTTGTTTCACTCACTGTACCCCGCCCTATGTAATTGTATTGGCCTGATGGGAGTTTACCGAAAGGAACGTTCACTCGCCACTCTCTCTTCTGAATATAGTGATGGGGATTTTCACACATTTAAAACAGTCCCAAAAAAAAAAACGAATTGTCTCACGCACACCCTTCCGATAGGGAAAAAAGACCTTGTTTTGAGTCTGGTTTAGTAGTTCCATCCGCTTGGGAGTTAACTACGCGCAATGCAGA